TTTTTAAAAAAAAAAAAAAAAAGATTTATTTTATGTATTTGAAAGAGTTACAGAGAGAGGTAGAGCCAGAGAAAAAGAGAGGTCTTCATTCTGCTAGTTCAGTCCCCAAGTGACCGCAATGGCCAGAACTGAGCTGATCCTAAGCCAGGAGCCAGGAGCTTCTTCCGAGTCTCCATGTGGGTGCAGGGGCCCAAGGGCTTGGGCCACCTTCTCCTGCTTTCCCAGGCCATAGCAGAGAGCTGGATGGGAAGAAGAGCAGCCTGGACTTGAACCGGTGCCCATATGGGATGCCAGCATTGCAGGCTGGGGCTTTCAACCACTGCCTCACGATACCAGCCCCCAGTTTACATTCTCACTCAGTCCTTCCAGGTTCTTGAGCAAGACAAACACTGCCCACATTGTGCTCTCTGAGGCCCTCTGATTTCTTCCCTATCCTGGTTTTTTTGGGTGTGATTATTGTATTGTGGTTGTATTTCTTCAAAAAAAAAGCCTCCTTCTAAGATACATACTAAAACATTAGTAGATGGAATGGATTAGAGGGGGGAGAAAAGGTGAGTCTTTTTTTAAATCCTAAAACAAAGCTTTTCTGAAGCCTGAGAAAGAAGAGTGGAACCCGGAAGTGCAGAAACAGCTGTGCTTGCGTGACTGAGGGTAACCAGCCCTGCACAGAAGAGCTGCTCCCTCACAGCGGGGGGCCAGGCTGGCTCTGCAGAAGGCTGGTGCTTCTCAGTTCCTTCCAGAATCTGCGTCTCCTAGAAATCAGGCCTCCCAGCCTCTCCTGCCGACCTGGACGTTACAGCTCCCCCTGCATACACCATAAGCCCTCCTCCTCCCCTCTCCTGGGGAGGTGGTGCCTGACACGGGGCCTTTTTAACCATCATCTCTCCATTTCCTCAGCTCTCTAAGGGTTGACTTTGGAAATTGATTTTCATTGTCTGATTAGTTTGGTAAAACCTATTTTTAAATTCTTGTTATCCGAGTTTGGCTTTTTCATCAGTTTGGCTGGCATCTGGGCCTCCTATCTGTATTATACCACCCCCTTTCAACAGCCAGCAGAAGCCTCAGGCCTCTTCCTGTTCCTAAGCCTTACCTCACTGTCAGGCCACCCACTGAGTTCCTGTTCTGCTTTGATGCCTATAGCTCCAGCTTGCATATGACTAGAGTAGTGATAATAAGAGTTACCAGTGTGTGGGTTTGCTAAGCACCAAACTCAATATTGAGTGCTTGGTATTGCAATCATCAGGTCATTGTTCTGTTCTAAGGAGTGACTCTTACCCTCAGATTAACAGGAGAGGAACCTGCGGCCCAGGGAGCTGGAGTCAGCCTCCTACAGTCATTCAGCTGTTCAGGATCAGGGCTGAGCTTCCAACCTGAGTCTCTCACTCCACCCCTTAACCCTGGTGCACTTACAGGTGACCAAGACTGGCTCCCAGGTGGAGGGGGCCTCTCCTGGCTTCGTGCCTCAGCTTTTCAGTGATACTTCTCAGTTCTCCCTCTTCTACAGTAGATTTTTCAAAAAGCAAGCAGCCAGTTTTTTTGGTCAGCTCTGTCATCACTGGAACCAAAATACCTGGGAGAGCTTCTTAGGAGGGAAGGTGGTTTGTTTCAGCTTAGCATTTTGGGGGCCCACAGGCCCAGATCGGGCTGTCCCATTGCTTCAGACATCTGGTGCAGCTAGAGGACGCAGACAAACAGTTATACCATGAGCCAGGCAGCAGAGGGACACGGGGAGTGTGCTCTGTTTATATAATGAACCCTCTCGCGGGAACTACCTTCCGAGGGCAAAGCCCCAGTGACCTGAAGGCTTCTCACCGGGCCCACCTGCCAGATTCCATAATTAGATCAAATCTGCACCCCCAATCTATTACCTCGTAGCAGAAGAGTTTGCCTTGAAGCGTCTGCATGAGTTGAGGGAGCTAAATCCTGTTCAAACCACAGTGCTGGGATTGAGTACCTACCAGGCCCTGTGTTACCTTCACGTTCCTTTCTCATTCTGTGTCTCATGTATGACATCATGGCACTCCTGTGGTTCAAACTCTCCTTTCCCTTGCACTGTGAAGAAAATTCAGGTTTCTGACCAGACTTTAAAAGGCCCTACCCACGGCCCTTACCTGTATCCTTGATCTCCCCTGCTCCGCTCGCATGCCCCTCCCTGCCCTCTTGGGCATCTGTCAGTTTCCTTGCCCATCAAGACCCCTGCACTTGGTTTTCTTGAGGCTTGCAATGTTCTTCCGGGATCCTTGCCTGGCTGCCCTCTTCTCAGTCTTCAGGTCTTATGTTCTTAGAACAGCTTTCTTTAATAAGGCTTGTCTGAAATGTCATCCTTTGCCTCCATCACTCTCACTGTGTTCACAGTATTCTCCACCATTTCCTTCTTTCGGTGTGGTCAGTCTTATTAGGTAAGCTTTTTTCTCCACTGTGTTGCCAAAGGCCTGCAACAGTGCTGCCTGGCTCAGTAGTACTTCAACTAACGTTTATTGAATCCATGGATGAATGAATAGTAATCAGTCTCCACCCACAGGAAGGGGGAGGGGCTTCCTGACAGAGGGGCCTGAGAAATGGCCCCAGAGAAGATTTGGGAAGAGGATGGAACTTGGAGAGTGGAAGAAAGCATCCTGACCTGTTTTCCCTTGCTTTGCAGGCCAGAGGCGCCCAATGAGTTCTATGATGGAGACCATGACAATGACAAGGAAAGCGACGTGGAGATTTAAGAGCATCTTTGGATGCTGTGTCCTGAGGAATTCCTTTTCACTCTTGGTTTGATGGGAGGGAAAAGGCGTGACTCCCCTGGCCTTTTGACTGGCCACCCCGAGAGCTTCTGTTAATTCTGGAGAAGGATTTGGAGACCACATCTGGTTCTAGAACCATCTACCCCCTTTTCTTCTCTCTTCTACAGCCTGACGATGGTACCTGTTAGGGATGCTGTAGGGACAGGAATGGCTGTCTCTGGAACACTGTGGGCAGTGGGCCCTAGAGGCCAATCCCCAGCCCTCTGGTCTCTTATTTCTGCCCTGCTTCTCTCCAGCTCTGAGACTTCTACGGATAAAGGGGTAGATGGGACATAGGTTGCCTCCGAGTCCTCCTCCACTGAGTTTTCCTACTCCAGGCCTTGCTTACAAGGCAAGTGAAGAGTAAGGGATTTTGGGGGACATTGGCCCCCTAACACCATAGCCCCAGATTATCAGAACGATGGTTTTGAGTAGGGGGAGGATGTGAAAATGTCCTGTTCTAACTTTTGGCTTTATGTCCATTTTACCACTGTTTTTATCCAATAAACCAAGTTGGTATTTTTTCTATCCTTTGTCTTTCTGGAAATATTAATTCTTGCTACATGCCTATAGGAAATGAGGTGACGATGAGTAGAACAGCCATCAGAGTTAGCATTCACCCTGCACTCCGTGTTGGGCTTTGTCTATGTGTTCTACACTGGTTATCTTAGATTCAGCGAGTTGCTAGAGCCTTCTGCTAAGTTGGGCAAACCTGGGCAGATGACTAATTGGGGGAAGCAGAGGATGACTTGAGGTCTTTGAGCCTGTGTGTTGGAACGGTGGTGCTGGTCGGTGAGGATATGCTGAGATGAAACCCTTCAAGTACTTAGCACACTGGCTGACATGAGTCCTTGTTCACTGTGTGAGGGACCGTGCTGGGTCCTGTAGTTGCCGCATACGTGAACCCCTCTCTGGAGGCCTATGCAGTTCAGTAAGACCTCTGGAAAATGTAGCAGATACAGGCAGTGGTACAAGAGTCATGGGTGGGCCACCTCCCGCCTTTGACCTGTCTCTCAACACTCCCCTTAGAAAGTGTAAGTAACTTTTCAACTGTTTTGACCAAATTGAGCTTGAAATGTGGTCGGGACAGCTCAGTGCAACTTCCTATCAGGCAGTTAGAATTGTAGGGGCACAAGAGAGGAAAGCTAAATTTAGTTGCCAAGCAGGTTTGCAGAGACTAGGCTAAGCACACGGAACTCCAGAATGGGTAGATCACTGACTCAGCGCTCCAGAAATGTACCGCGAAATCTCTCATCAGCTGTAGTTAAGTAAATTCAGTCCACACTGAGAGCCAGCTGGTGTCATGCACCCTTCACACAGGACAGGTGTAGCCAGTAGAGTGCCTGAGTTTGTCAAAGGACAGGGTTACAGTGGAAGAGCAAAGAACATACCTGGGAGAACCCCATTTTCCCCCCACATATGTTGGTTTATGTCAGTGGGGAATACTGGTTAAACATAGGGCTTGGCAGTCAGACTAATCTGCGTTTAAGTTTTCTATCAGTTATGTGTGCTTGGGCAAGTCACTTCAACTCTCAAAGCCCCGATTTCTGAGCTGTAAGATGGCGAGGACAGTAGAATCTATCATGAGGGGTTGTGAGGATTCAGGCAGAAGATACATACAGTCATTTGCCTGGTCCTGGCACAGAGCATGTGCATGGTACTAAGTGCACTACAATGCCTGTTTAGGCACTTGTTGGCAATATTTAGTTAGTCTAGCTTAGAAACAGAACTAGAAAGCAGCAGACATGGGATTGCAAACTAGGCGATCTAACTCCAGAGCTAGGGTGGCCCAGAGTCTAGCATTCAGGCTGGAGCAAGCTGTGTTCTTGGCACATGGTTTTCAGTGCATGGTAGCTGTCACTTTCTAAAGGTTTCTTCATGTGCTGCATGGGTACTGTACACATAAAAACCGCATTATCTCAGAAATCCCGATGCTAAGTTTCCTGCTACGGTAACAGGCGATTTTGGGTTTAGATAATAACATCCTGGTCTAGGGTGTGAGAGAGAGGCCCCAGGATTTACAGCCACGTGGGCGCTGTGTGGGAGCGGAGAGGCCTGCGCCGCTCCAACCGCCAGGGGGCGGTGCTCATCGTTGCCGCCGCAGAGCTACACCGCCCACTCGCTACCCCCCCACGTGGGTCCGAATGGTTAGGCCCGCTGGGCAGGTAGCGCGCTTCCGCGGCTTCCCTCCACCCCTTTCCCTTGCCCCATTGGTAGGGGCTGCGGGTCCGGGCGGAAGTGGGGCAGGCGGGCGGGCGCGAGGCGTCACCGTTGTATATTCATGAGGCGCGCGCAGCTCGGCATGCTAATGAGGCGGGGCGCGGCGGCAGGCTCAGGAGCTGCTGGGCGGCGGCGGCTGCTCGAGCGGAGCTGCGGGGCGGGAGTGGCGTAGGCGCGGGGTCACCGGCCAGCGCGAACGGGGACATGGAGCCGTCCGGCGGGGGCCTGGCGCCCGGCCGCGGGACCCGGGACAAGAAGAAGGGTCGGAGCCCGGATGAGCTGCCTGCGACGGGCGGCGACGGCGGCAAATCCAAGAAATTTGTGAGTGTCCCTCCCACCCCGCTCCCTCAGCCCAGCCCGGTAACCGCCCCTCTGGCCCCGGGAGACCCCAGCAGCGGGCCCCGGGGGCGCCCGCCCGTCTCCAGGGAGCCGCCCCCGCGCCTCCTTTGCTGGCTTCGCTGGGTTCCTCGGCTCGGTAGCCCGACATCCTCGCGCTCCGGGACCTCGGGAAGCCCCGAAGTCCCACCTGGCTCTGGCCCTGGCCGCCTCGGCATCTGCCTCCGCCGGCAGCGCGCACGCTGTGCCCTCCCGCCCCCTGAGCCCCGGCCGGCGCTCAGCCCCACTTCCTTTCTTCTTCCTCCACTACCCGAACACGCCTTCTCTGCCTCTCGGTCCCCGTGCCCTCCTCACCCGGCCCCCCTTTGGGTGTTCTCTGGTTTCCTTCTCCTAAGGTCACTTCCTTCCTCAGGATCGAGTCTTTTCACCTGCTAACTTTCCTCCCGCCCCTGCCCCCGCTGGGCCCGCAGCCCGGTGTCACCTGATAATCCTTCCCCTCAGGAATGCCACCTGGCCTGGGCCCCACCCCCGGCTGGGCTTGGACGTTCGTCCTGGCGCCTGCAGGAATGGGTTCCTGCCCAGGTCCTGTGGTCACTGGGGCAGGACGCTGGTCTGCCTCCCCCTGGCGCTCCCGGCCCGAGAACCCTCTCTGTGGCCTGTTGCTTTCTACTTTTTAGGGGTTTAGAACTTCTCTCGGAATTATGCCCTCCTTGCCCTAGGACAGTGATAAACCTGTTCCTTGGGGAGGAAGTTGGACGTCAAGTCCTAGAAGTTTGTGACTAATGGACTTGGCCTTCTGCGTTTCCCGTTCCGCTCACCTGCTCTGTGCGGCCTCGCGACAGCCCGCTTGTACCTGCGGAAGAGTTCGGCTTTTCCCAAGCGCCTGTTACCTCCAATCTCAGTGGAAGGAGCATGGATATTCCTGTATTCCGATCACACTGCCTCACCTTCTGCCCACACGGAGTCACCTCTCTCCAGGGAGCTGTGTGTTTACTTTTTACTGTAAAAGCTTTGCGATGCAGAGCGTTGTCCAAAAGAGGGAAGGGGGTTTGGGGCTTAATAACCATGTGCTGGCTACGGAATAAGAACCGTAGTCATTTCGTTTTCTCTTGGAGGCAGTCACGTCCCCACTGTAGTAACTCTTCCTACTCACCAAATGGTGTGTGGCTCCTAGCCCCACGGCCCAGGTCCGTGCGTTTGGATGGAAAGCTGACAAAGTGGTGGAAACGGGAAGAAGATGTTGTTCTGTAACCTAGAGGGTTGAGATGCAGAGTGTACTAAACAGAATTAAAATAGTGACTCATCTCTTCCTACCTATTTCTAGCAAGACCAGGTGCTCCTGGACTGTACTGTCCGGTGACACACAGGCCGTCAGCAAGTGCCTGCTTTTTTCTGGCAAACACTTGTTTTTCTCCAGAAATACAGGATTAATAGTAGGGACAACCCCTAACCCCTTGGGTAACTTAAAACAACTTTTCTCTGTTTCTTTACAATAAGATGGACCCTTAAGTTCGAGAGCTTTCCTTTTAGAACTGGGGCCCATATTCTTTCTGTTTCTGTGTCTTTTTGTTTTGATTTTGTTTCCATGGGGACTGTTTGCCCTTCCTCACCCAAATTCCAGCTATTCTTGCTGATTCGAAGTGACCTCTGTGACTTGTCAGTGGTTTTCCAGCCTTCATTAGAATTTTCTATGTGATTTTATTTTATGTAAAGCTTGTGTGGTTCACAAAGTCTGCTAAGTGTGTGGTCCTGGGAGGTGAGAAGCCAGGAGAAACTCAGCTTCTTTCCACCTGTTTTTTGGGCTGGCGGTGGAGTGGAGTCTTGTGTGTGCCGAGTGGATTTGGCTCCGAGTTGTTGATATTTGCTTTAGAGAGGGTGGAGCTGAAGCAAGTTCTCTTAAGTGTTGGTCTTAACCCTTAACCCTTAATCTTCTGAATTTTTAAAATTAGGTAATACTGGTAGTCAGGAGAATTGTTTTCATAGATAGGGGATTAGGAGGTTTCCTGGAAAGGTGTGCTGTTTAACCCTTTAATTGCCACTTATAACCTAATTCATGGCATCAGAATATTTTGTCTTTCTCTTTGCTCTTTTTTATTTTTTTTAAGATTTATTTAATTATTTGAACGGCAGAGTTAGAGAGAGAGAGGCAGAGAGGGAGACAGAAAGAGAGGTCTTCCATCTGCTGGTTCACTCTCCAGATGGCCGCAATGGCAGGAGCTGTGCCAATCTGGAGCCAGAAGCTTTATTTGGGTCTCCCACACCGGGGGTAGGGGCGCAAGCACTTGGGCCATCTTCCACTGCTTTCCCAGGCCATAGCAGAGAGCTGGATCGGAAGTGGAGCAGCCCCAACCCAAACTGGCTCCCATATAGGATGCTGGCACTGCAGGTGGTAGCTTCACATGCTGGGCCACAGCACTGGCCCCCCCTTTTTGCTCTTTTTGTGAAACTCTGGAAATGAGAGAAGAGGAGGAGCATTGCAATTCACTTCTCTTTGTGTCTGGTTATGTATATGTGGGTGGGTGGAGTGGGCGAGATTGCTGGTGTGCTTTTGTTACCCGTGGCTTAGTTTTCTTAAACTATAGGCTAAGGCTGAAGTCAAAGCTCTTTCGCCTACTCTACCTTTTCTAAAGTGTATATCCTCCAGAACGCCATTAAGAACATATTTTATGATACTGCGCTGGCTTGGACTAGTTGTGCCTGAAGGTTGTTTGCATTTGAGGGGTTCTATTCCTTTAGCTGCTGCTACATACCTTTTTGGGCTTACTCAGGTTCTAAGTACAGGATCAGCTGATTAGAACACTGAGCCCACAGATTGCCTAAGCTCTGCTGTTACCCTCCGAGGCATCTTGTGTGGAAAGGAGATGGAGGCCAAGTTTAAAAAGTGGTTGGGTGGGGCCAGTGCTGTGGCCTAGCAGGCTAAAGACTCTGCCTGCTGCACCAGCATCCCATATGGGCAGCTGTTCTAGTCCTGGCTGCTCCTCTTCCGATCCGGCTCTCTGCTATGGCCTGGGAAAGCAGTGGAGGATGGCCCAAGTATATGGCCCAAGCACCTGCATGGGAGACCCAAAGGAAGCTCCTGGCCCTAGCCACTGGGACCATTTGGGGAATGAACCAACAGATGCAAGGCCTTTCACTCTTTTTTCTGTAACTCTGACTCTCAAATAAATAAATAAAATATTAAAAAAAAGAGGTTGGGTGCAAAATTGTGCGTGAGGTGGGTATTTGGTGCAGTGGTTAAAATGCCTCTGATAATGCCAGCATCATATATTGGAGTGCCTGGGTTTGAGTCCTGGGACTGCTGCTCTTCATTCCAGCTTCCTGCTAATGCAGCAGGTGATGGCCCAAATATTAGAGTCCCTGCCACTCAGCTAGTAGACCTGTATTGAGTTCCAGCCACCTCACTTTGATCTGGCCCAGGCCTAGCTGTTGGGGAAATTTGGAGAGTCAACCAGCGGATGGAAGATTTACCTCTGTCTCTATGTTTCAATTAAATAAAAAGTAAAATAAAATAAAAACATGTGATTTTTAGAGTTGTTGGTCTGAATGGCTATAGCCAGGCCGCTGGTATTTCTCTTTGGGTCCTCCTCTGTCTGCTCCTGCACCATGAGCATGTTCTTGCGTTATTTCAGTGCCTTATTCTTCCATCTGAAGATGAAGGAAAATGAGAATTCCAGCTGAACAGGGTGTCTTCTGACTTCTCAGCAGTGATTAACGTGGGTGTCAAGTAAGACTGGTTTCTGAAATGTGTAAGTGGAGTAAGTAGAACCAGGATGCTAGGAGAATGCGGAGTACTTGTGCATTTACTGGGCTCCGTGCCTTCTCATACAGGTTTGCAATTGACACATTTTAAGAAGAGAATATTGCTCTTTGTTTCAGGTAGGAGCATAACTTTTTAAAACAGGAATTTCATTGTGGGATTTGATAGAATAGATAACTTTTAAAATGTTTAATTTTGAATGTCTGTATTGAATTATTAACATACTGCTGTTTCATGCTCTTTTGAAGGCAAAGTGAGAGTGTAAATGTTTAGTTGTAGATGCTGGCCCAAAATGAAAGCAATTAAAGGTGAAGTAAGTAATAGCACAAAGAATATGGAAATGTGGAATCATTCATGCATATTTCTGCTTGTCTTTTTTTTTTATTTTTATTTTTTATTTTTTTTTGACAGGCAGAGTGGACAGTGAGAGAGAGACAGAGAGAAAGGTCTTCCTTTTCCGTTGGTTCACCCTCCAATGGCCGCCGCGGCCGGTGCGCTGTGGCCGGCTCACTGCGCTGATCCGATGGCAGGAGTCAGGTACTTATCCTGGTCTCCCATGGGGTGCAGGGCCCAAGCACTTGGGCCATCCTCCACTGCACTCCCTGGCCACAGCAGAGAGCTGGCCTGGAAGAGGGGCAACCGGGACAGAATCCAGCGCCCCAACAGGGACTAGAACCCGGTGTGCCAGCGCTGCAAAGCAGAGGATTAGCCTAGTGAGCCGCGGCGCCGGCCTCTGCTTGTCTTTTTTTTTTTTTTTAGGTTTACCTGTTCATTTCAAAGGCAGAATAATAGGGAGAGACAGGGAGAGAGGTCTTCCATCCGCTAATTAATTCCCCCAGTGCCTGCAACAGCCAGGGCTGAGCCAGCCTGAAGCCAGGAGCTAAGAACTCCATCAAGATCTACCATGTGGGTAACAGGAACCCACTCATCTGGGCATTCATCCTCTGCTTCCCAGGTGTATTAGCAAGAAGCTGGATAGGAGGCAGGGGGTAGCCAAGACTCAAACCAGATACTCCTATAGGAATATGGGCATACCAAGTGGTGGTTTAACTTGCTGTGCCACAGTACTCATTCCTGTCTCCTATCAAAAGTTGGCAGAAAACTGAGAAATACGCAGAGATCATTGTGTAAGTCATTTGTGTGTGTGTGTGTGTGTGTTTTAAGATTTTATTTGTTTACTTGAAAGAGCTACATCTAGGCAGAGAGAAAGAGAGAGAAGTCTTCCATC